TAACCTTACTATTTTATCAGAGTACACCTAGATCATTACTAGTACACCGGGGTACACTAAGTACCTAACTAGTTCACCAGGGTATACGTAGTAGCTCACTAGTACACCGGGGTACATAAAGTACCTCACTAGTTCACCAGGGTACACAAAGTACCTCACTAGTTCACCAGGGTATACGTAGTAGCTCACTAGTACACCGGGGTACACCAAGTACCTCACTAGTACACCGGGGTACACCAAGTACCTTACTAGTTCACCAGGGTATACGTAGTAGCTCACTAGTACACCAGGGTACACATAGTACCTCACCAGTACACCAGGGTAAACAAAGAATCTAACTAGTACACCAGGGTACACAAAGTACTTCACTAGTTCACCAAGGTACACCTAGTACCTCAATTGTACACCAGGGTACACTTACAACCTCACTAGCACACCAGGGTACACATAGAGCCTTACTAGTACACCAGGGTACACATATAACCTTACTAGTACACAAGGGCACACATTGTGACTCACTAGTACACCAGGGGCACCTAATGTCTCACTAGTACTTCAGGGTACACAAAGATCCTCACTAGTACACAACGGTACATCAAGAACCTTACTAGTAAACCGGGGTACACCTACAACCTGACTAGTACACCAGGGTTCACCTACAACTTGACTTGTACATCAGGGCGCACCTACAACCTCTCTAGTACACCAGGGTACATCTTGGACCTCACTTGTATAGCAGGGTTCATCTAGAACCTCCCTAGTTTACAAGGGTATACCTGGAACGTGACAGGGACACAAAGGTACACATAGAACGTGACAAGGACACAAAGGTACACATAGAACGTGACAGTTACAGTACACCATGATACATCTCAAACCTAACTAATCTATCCGTATGTCCTAGAACCTAGACTGATCAAAATGCACTGCAGGGGTACAGATGTACCTACCTCAAAAACCTCAAGGGATAACAGCAAGTTGCTATTTTGCTTCCTTAATTATGTACATGAATAAATTATATATACCTTCAGGGTCGTTGAAAACGTTTTACTTCCCAAGGGCTAGATGCATTCAATTAGACGACACAAAGAGCTGACATATGTTTTTCACATTGTTCTGTGTCTAATTTGGTTATTACTTCACACAGTATGTGTTCCTGACTTAAGCAGTGTTCAATATTGATACCTGCTGAATGTACATGTACATGTAACCGACATAGGCAATACAGTGCTAGGCTATTTAGGATGGAGCGCTTCATGTTATATTTGATTGACAGACCGGACCGGAACGGAACGGATCGGTATATTGGTTTTTACCATGGATAATTTCAAACTGACCTGAAATAATATATCTGTGATTCACGTTTGAAATGTAATGTACAATAGGTAGATGAAGTGTACGAGACCTATTGGGTGTATTCTGAATTTGAATGTAGATATAGAATGTACATGTATACTTTAGTTGACATTTTGACTCTTTGGTATGAACTTTTGTTTCGAACTTAATTTTTTCAACGCAAACAATTATTCCAAACAAAACAAACAAAATCCACAGTTTCAACAGAGTCAACACAAAACGATATATTCCAGAGTCAACAATCAAAACAAAATATTCCACAGTGTCAACACTCAAACAAAATATTCAACAGTGTCAACATACATACAAATAGTCAACAGTGTCAACATACAAATATTCAACAGTGTCAACATACAAATATTCAACAGTGTCAACACACAAAACAAAATATTCTACAGTGTCAACACAAAACAAGATTTTCAACAATGTCAGACTTTAACGCTGAACTTTGATATTTATAGCATAATATTATTTTCAGGCTAAAATAATATAACTTGAACGTTGAACATTATAATGTATAACATACAATTTTAATATTAAGATAATATGTCTTGAACACTGAACTATGATATACATGACAACACAAAACTATCCCAATACTATAAGATTTACAGTATACAGCTACATTAACACTCAAATTACATGAATAAACATATGTAGGTAAACTGTCATCGTTAACTTGCATTTTCCCATATCAACATCTTAATTACACACAATGATTCGTTTGTCAAGCACGTGTCAATCTACAGGCCTATAATACATTTTTGTTGGATGCTCTATTGAAGGTTATTAATATGTATGTTAATAATCACATATGTCGTTGGTATATAGATTCCGTCGGTAAGCCACAACAAACACACTAAACAAACATTGTAACTATGTTTATTATATAATACAGGCTATTTCCGTGCAATATTGCAGTTCAATAAACACGATATAGCACACGTACAATAAACATGCAAATGAGTCTTGTCACCGTGGGAAACAGGTCATATTCCTACGCACTACAACTTCTACGTTTGTAAACGAAATGGCTGACCGAGTTACTGTTTGCATTGATAGCAGAGGCAAGGGTACTGGGAGAATAAAATTAACAAACGAGTTTAACAAATTCAATATTATATAAACACGAGTGTTAGCTTCACACAAATTCAACACCTGCATGTTCAAATTCCACTTGAACTTCTCCGACATACACACAATCAATGTCGAACACGTGTAACCGGTCAACTTTGTTTGTGTTCCAGTTTCATGGCGGATTCCACAGTATATATTCTGGCTCAGTGACAGGCGGAAACATCGACGTTCACATTAACCAGTCCCTGTACACTTTTAAAAAGTGCAGAATTCGTGTGTATTGTGATGAAATTTACCTTGACAGTGCACGCGCCGTTGTGCCAAATATGTGACGTCACTGCTATTTTCGTAAACGCCAATTCGTTGAATGGTTTTCGCATAATTTTTTTTATATATTAATGTTGTTATGATAACGATTAAAACATTGGGTGATGATGAAAACCTAAATGATTGTTTGTTCATTGAATAGGGTCTCGGGAAGAAGTTTCTGAAACTATTTTTTGTGGCGCAGCGAGCTCCAAACAAAATGCATGTAATGCGTCCTTTCGTCAGCCATCGGTACAGTTTATATAGAGGAGTCGTGTCAAGAAAAAAGGTGTTTCTCGAATTATAAAATAAATAGAATGATCAATCTAACACTCGTGTTCATGTAATATTGAATTTATTAAACTCGTTTATTAATTGCATATAAAATGAATACACTCGTTCAATAAATTCAGTATTATATGAACACTCGTGTCAGATCCTTTATATAATGTACTGTATTAATATATCAGCCTTGGGCGGCTCCTACTTAGACAGAGAATAGTCCTAATTTGTGATTTACCTCGTATAATATTCGAATCGCCCACTTGATGATTGCTTATGTTCATGTTAAATTAATTAACGCTTTTATCAGACGTGTAGACTTGGGAATGGCCATAGATGATCTGAATACGCTCTGATACACACGACCGAGCGTACCCTTGTTAGCTGCTGGGGGAAGTGATGCCTGCTACAGAACTGGTGATACTATTACTACGCATTGTATCGGGTATCTACGTTACATAGTGGTCTGTTATGACTATCTCGAAGACCGCAGCAAGGGGTAGCACGGTATACTGTATGCAAAGGGAAATGGCGATATCTACCCGAGGACGAGGTGAGCGATTCTTATACACAAATACTACCTAATGATTCCTAAACACTAGTAATAGATATGTATACATTAACAAATACACTGTCGTAAATATTTGCATACTTTCACAAAGTTCAAATACATTGTAATACATTGCCATATTACATTGAACTTCGTCACCACACTATTGCTATATTGCCATTTTACCATTCTTATAAACAGTACTAGTAATACATTGTCATTTTACGATTTTGGTTTAATTGTAATACATTGTTGTATAAAGATAATTAGTTTGTCATTTTATACATCTCATATACTAAGAATTGTTTGTAATACTACGATTTTATATAATTATAATTCATTTTCATTTTACGATATCTACAAGCTGGTACATATGTAGTACAATATCATATTACTACTCCCGTATACATAAATTACAGATGCGTCATCTTATTGCGGTTTTAACTTAGTAATACAATGTAATACATTGCAACTGTAATACATTTTCGTATGACTTTTTCGATTATTACAACTATGTATCAAATTTTTTATAATGTACCATAACAGTTCTCATACATCCGTTATACGTTGTCAAATTACGATTTTCACATAATTCTATTACATTGTCCTGATGTCATTACTGTTGTTTACGTTTCATACTCATTTGAAATCCTTAAAAGATATCACTACATATTTATATATAATGCAAGGTAAAACTCATCGTTGCTCAGCAATTAAAATTAAGGATCCCTGTCCAACTCAAGGAAACACTAAATACGTCCACCTTAGTTTTTCGTTCATACAGTTATCATTTAATTTGGTTATAATTGTAGTGGACTAGGCCAAGGTGTTTCGTTGACCAGGTAGCTCATTTGATAAGAGCGACAGCACATAATAAACTTAGGTCCTGGGTTCGAATCCTGTTTTAGCCTCATTGCATTGCTACGCCCAGAATACTATTATAAATATCTTTTTATTCATTTTATATTATGGTGTTTCATAAAAGTTGCACATGATGTGAATTTCTTTTCAGAAATGACTAATCAAAGCTAAAACCTTACCGTGAAAAGTTTTCGATGCATAGTTTTTAGCAGTGACAAGGAATCCTTAAACTTTATCCAGACATTGACCTTTTATCTCCCTAGTCAATAAAACGATAGTATGATATCATACTACACTTTTCAAACGATAAAAGAAAAATGCCCAACATGATGTACATGTAAATTGATGATGCATTCATGTATACTCCGTATGATAATACAATTTGTATTTTATGTTCTAGATCTAGAAGTTTAAAGGAATCGTATACCACACTGATCTTCCACGACACATAAAAGGGATGTAAACGCCAAATATTTACCATCTGCATCAGACACGATTTGTTTCGTTATGGAATTTAAGTTTCGTAGAGACAATGGCTGAAGAAGCAATTACTAATGACAATGACTGACCCACTGTTTGCGATAAACATTATCTGAAAATGTCAAACCCGAATATATTGGTTGTCACCAATACCACTACCAGCGTGCCCGTGACTGGGGAAGTCAGTATAACGTGGGACGATGCTACGTGGATTCTTACAAGTTCTTTTATCATATTCACCATGCAGTCGGGTAAGTATGTCTCGTACAGTCAGGGGTGCAACTCCAAATTCAATCACACAAGTTTCATATTTTTGAAGAAAGGACGATCAACCGAGGTGTCTTAGTCGCCTTCTATCACTGGCTCCTTTTTAACAGCGAAATATGTCATTGCAAGAGCTGTTTTTTAACAACAGTTGTTATATATAAGGATTAAACGGCATTTTGTTTCATACCAATGCTGTTCAATACTTATATTTGAATCTTAAATTTTATAGTTTATATTAGTCTTCATATAGGCATTCCCTTAATTTGTTGATATTGATGTGTCGTCAGTGCAAACGAGATTCAAGGAACAGCCTAACGTTACCAAAATGTTTGCTTCTAATGGTTGTCTAAAGTTATTCGAGACGGGAGGGGAAGCTTCAAAATGACGCTGATCAAATTGAGTTCATTGCCCTATCAACGCAATCTCCCCTGGTAATGCTTATAGAGGAACTTCTTGTGCGATAAACATATTCTACAATGGTAAATATAAGCAATGAACTGCTAGACGAAGGCAGTTTCAAAGAAGCGCGCTAGTGCTTCATCTTGGACATGACTTTGTCAAGTTCGTATACATATTGCCTATGAATGTCAATTTAAAATAGTTCAATGCTTAAATTTACCACTGTAGAATATGTTTATCGCATAGAAAATGCAATTATACATGTTATTTTCATTCAGCATTTAGGTTAAATACTATATGTATCGTACATGCTTGTTCCATTAATAGAACAGCCATTTGTCCAAGGTCGATCAGTGGTTTCCAACGAAACAAATATGACGTCATTCATAATGATGATGTCAACAATCGACTCGGGCATGAATGCCATCAAAAGGTGATCAGGTTATACATGTAAAGTGGCAATGCCATAGAGTGGTAAAGATAGGCTGTAATAGCTGTTGATGTTCAAGGGACACACAGAGTTTTGGCAAATTTTGATATCGGTTGGCTGTTTACTGTCAGAGCTTACGCGACCCTTTGACTTAAGTCACCTTCAATATTTTAAGGCATATATTTTGACAAGAATATACCAACACCACCCTGCAGAATTTTGGTTTTTCTTCTTTGATCTGCTGACATCATTACAACAATCAGGATCTTTTTCTTGTCCTCCTTGTCCTGTCCATTTCTTTTTCTGTCTACATTCTCTTTCCGTCGGTGTCTCCCTAGGCACCCGCCTTCAAATGATCTCAGCTGTTGCGAGGAGGTTAAACCCAAAAAAACAATCGGAGCCAGTGGTAATAATGTATTTTAGCATAATGTCATTGTTCCTACGCTGTTAACGTCTTTGATTTGTTATTACAGTTGGTTTACCAATGTAACAAGAATGGTATACCTTGTAACGTTTCAGTGACTACCTGAAATGTTTAGTAATGAGATAAATAATACCATTCACGTCATAATAGACAGGCGGCCCACTCCAACACCTACGCTCACGTCGACGGGGCGGATTTAGCAAACCATCTTAAAAACACGGAATGTGTTAATTTCAAAATTTGCCTACTCACTTTCTCTTAATTGTCAAAGGATCTCCTTTTAGATTTTTGATGTGTAGGGTAATAGTTTTCATATTGCACGAAAGAAACACAATACGCCAGCCCGGAAGTGCTATATGGATGGTCGGGTGGCACAGTGGATAGTGCACTTGCCTTTCACCATGGCGACTGGGTTTCGATTTCCCGATCGGACGTGAAAAGGTATGGGGTCGCCTGCCCTAACACGTGGGTTTATTCTGGGTACTCCGGTTTCCTCCCACAGTAAGACCCCGCGCGCGCTAACATCGGAGCCAACAAGAGTGTTTAGTATAAGTTGGTACAACTTGATGCATACTTGTTGTAAAATAAATAAAGTTTATATTTATATTTAAAATGCTGTAGGGTTATTTGCTATAAAGTGTACAAGATACTCAAGAGAAACATGACAAAACCGATCAAAACAATATTTATTCTAAAACATTTTGGTCAACTTTTATATATCATTGGCTTTATCGCCGTCCTCCAACCACTGTTTTGCAATCACATCAATTATAAGTGATATATACCACTGCAAATGGCGCCACAATGGAATCGATACTGAAACCGATAATAGTTCCATTTTTAGAAGAAATTAAGTCTGAAAGTCTCGATGGAATCTTCAACTATCAATAAAAATTAAAAGAAACATTTAAATATTTATGGATTTTCTGGCTCAATAACTTGTACCATATTTTACTGTTTGCTCTAACCCATATCAGCTCTCGCCGCATTACACCCCAAAATCCGTATCAGCCCCCGCCGTATCACACCCCAAAACCCGTATAAGTCCCCGCCGTATCACACCCCAAAACCCTTATCAGCCCGCAAAACCCGTATCACACCCCCTTCGGAAATTATTCGTTTTTCAATATTTCAAAAGATAAATAGATCATAAGATAGTAGCTTTTATTAGTAAGTATGTAATAAACAGAAAATAACATGCCTTTTTCCATATCACACCCAGTATCAACCCTCGACCAATATCAGTCATCGGGCCTTCGGCCCTCGGGCTGATATTGCAGTTTCGGGTTGATACTGGGTGTGATATGGAAAACGGCATGGATCATTCTCTATTTATCGAATATTAAAGCTAAAAGAATTTTCAGGACAGATAAGACACACATCATTAATATTTCATTAATATTTAATCAATACAACTGTTTCGCCCCTAGCATCTTAGAAGGACGAAACAGCTGTATGATGCAGTGTAATTCTGTTTTGACATACTGTATCTGTTACCAAATGTCCAAGGTGCAGTCACCTGTACGTGTGCTACGTGCATCTTTGTAGGAAATTTGTAAATGTGTAAGTGAAAGGAAACTCTCCATGACTGATCATGCATCGCACATTTTCAACGACAGATAATGAGCGAGATGAATTTGGTTGTGTGAAACCGACTGAACTTAATATATATGAACGCTGTCCTTTCCCTTTGTAGGTTCCTTTAAGTAGACGATAGTATACATGTATTGCCCTTACTTTGGGGAAACACAATTCTTTGTTTCTCCTCGAATAACAATGTTCAACGAGGACTTCTAGAAACAAGAAATCGTGGTTCCCGAAAGTTAGGGCAATACATATTTCATTGTGCCGAAAAACAGTAATAACTCAATATTAGAGACGATCAGGTTGATACGCCAGTGCTGTCGTCTGCTTGTCATTCGGAACTAGTTAGTGGCGGCTCTTGTGGGGTTTTATAAAGAGACTACGAATAAGGGAAATATGGCGACAGGATTTGCTCTTGCCCCGTCATGTGACCAGTATCATCCAATCAGACACGCTGTTATAAAGATGAGGTATAATAATACCAATTGTTTTATCAGCCAGTCTGTTTTGTCCTTCTAAAAACCGATTCATGGTTTTTATTCAAACCCTCAGAGAAAATTCTGATTTTTTGAAATTACTGCCTAGTACAAAGCCAATAATGCTCGAATGCAGGTAGATAACTTGTCTAAAGTTGTCTCTGGAGATAAGCCTCCTACTTCAAACTAGTTGCTTTTGATGTTTAATTGATTCTAGAACGACGACTCAAAAAGCTGGGTTTTGATATCTGGTTTGTCACAATCTTAATGGTGTTGTACTTTGCTAGATAAAAAGGTCGAGCGAAAATAGGTGAGGCAGTGTAATTTCGATAGTATACATATGTTATCATTCGTGTTTTAAAGAGTTTCTTATTTTGTTTTGCGTTCTGCTATGTTATAAGAAATACACAGGTTTTAACATTTGTGAACAAGAAAGATAAAAATGGCACGCAAAATGAAAATTATCAGAATGTTCGCCATTAACTCATTGCTTCTAATTTAAATAGATATTACATTATTCCTTATCTATATATTTAATGACAAAATACGTTTACCTATATTAATAAGACAAAGTCCCTGTCGACATCCAAATTAAAAGTCAGATGCTAATAATATATTATATATAGTAGTATTATTTCGATTTTTAATATCCTCATGAATTATGAATTACCATTATTATTACAAATTCCTCTTCGATTGATTGGTCACTGATTAAATTCTGCAATGCCTATGACGCACAACAGAGGCTTTTCCCTATTGACCTTGGTGCTTGGGCCTGTTCGATTTGCGCTTATTTGGCACCCGCCGGCCGATCTAACTGGCAGGGCGCATTGCTCGAATGGAAGAAATGTTACGCTGCCGTGCTACCCGGCGTACTATTTTGTTCCCCCTATAGACAGTTAATAAAATGGTAAGTCTCACTTTTATTTTATAATCGAGAAAACGTTTTCATCTTCAAAAATAATTAAAAAAAAAAACAGCATACCAAAACGTCAACAAAAAAACGTCAACAAAACCATAGTTCGAACTCGATAATACTAGATAACACTAGATAACACTAGATAGTACTAGATAACACTAGATAATGCTAGATAACACTAGATAATACTAGATAACACTAGATAACACTAGATAATACTAGATAATACTAGATAACACTCGATAACACTAGATAACACTAGATAATACTGGATAACACTACATAACACTAGATAACACTCGATAATACTAGATAATAATAGATAACACTAGATAATACTATATAACACTAGATAATACTAGATAATACTAGATAATACTAGATAACACTAGATAACAATCGATAACAATCGATAACACTAGATAACACTAGATAATACTGGATAACACTACATAACACTAGATAACACTCGATAATACTAGATAATACTAGATAACACTAGATAATACTATATAACACTAGATAACACTAGATAATACTAGATAATACTAGATAACACTAGATAACACTCGATAACACTAGATAATACTAGATAACACTAGATAATACTAGATAACACTAGATAACAATCGATAACAATCGATAACACTCGATAACACTAGATAATACTAGATACCACTAGATAATACTATATAACAGTAGATAACACTAGATAACAATCGATAACAATCGATAACACTCGATAACACTAG